TTGGGTGGATAAGCAGTCCACAATGATGTAGATTTTTTATGCACACCTGCGCGATGTATCAGTTCAAAGCAGAATGGAAGCAGACGATACGAACCAAACGCAAGATATTCAAAGGGGTACGTTTATTCTTGGTGAGTTTATCTAACGATCTCTGTTGTGTGCTTATTCGGGCAAATTCTGGTAGAATATTCTGTTGGTTACCCATTGGCTCGAAACGTTGAATTGTGTGATTACATTTGAGATTCGGTACGCTGATAAACTTGACCCCATTTTTACATAACAAGACTCTTCTCCCTTCGTCGCTGATCTTAAAAAAAACGACCATGGACAGAACACCATAAAAATGAACGAGCCTTTGTGTCCAACGGCCAAAGTAAAATGCTTACCGTCTCTTGCTACAATAGTGTCGTCGCTCCACTGCCATTTCTACAATTCTTTCCATTTAATTGATTTTGATTACGCATAAAATGATTTGGCCTGTCTCGTCCGTACGAGCGCCAGAACCTACGTTTGTACAAATAAAGTGTCGTACCATCTTCAATGCTAGTAGTTTGAAAGCTCAACAGTGCCAGAAAAGTGCCTACGTGACACGCGGATACGATGTATCAGGCTCCACTAACGAATCATAAAATCTGTTACACTTCTGTCGGTACTTCAACTTTGTCGATTCGACACGATGGACTCGACAGATGCTCACACAATAGGATACATTGCAGTACTGTACAATATAAAAAAGGCTCTTGTCGAAAATACAAGATCGTAGACTACATGCATGTGTAGTATATTGTGTAAATTGCAGTAGATTTACAACGGAGTCATTTCGGTGCTTTTTAAGTGAATGCTGTAGCTTCTTCTCTCGCGATGTTTAGATTAAACGTAGTGAATTGTGTCAGACAATGACGAAGCAAATCGCTGTCGTGCTATTTCGAGACACGCTTACAATCGAACGTTGTTGCAGCTCATCCTGCATTCGTACTTCGAATGCAGGATGAGGAATTGATCTACGACTTGTACATGTACGTACGTAGAAGCGAAAGACTTGTGCTAGAAGCTTTTGTAGCCAATACATACATATATTGAGCATATCCAAAGATCTGCGCTTGTTAGACCTGTAGCTAATTATTCACGTTTATCATACGTGCTATACTATAGTTGACATTTAATTTGATGAACAAACTCTGTCTAAATACTCTATGTCACAGATGTTTCGCCATTCTTGATGGCTAGTAACAGCAATCTTAGGTGCTTAGAGTTCACATGCAGTGTCATATGTGTGAAACGACAATTGTTGCAGTAAAGCCGCGGTATAGTCATGAACTGGGTGCATTACCTAGGTTACTTATATACCAACTAAGCAGATGTATATATTTAATTTAGATCATGTAGCATTTGAAGATGATTATCAAGTGTAAGCTGATAACTAGTAGTCCACGGCACTTTGACTGAAACAAAAAGATTGTATGAAAACACGTCGTTGTACTTAAAGTTTTTAAATGGTCGCCTTAAAGCAAAATTATATGTACAACAGATTCCTCCAATCTAGATGAATAAACTAATGTATCTAATACTCATGACAGCTTACAAGTACAACAGCACAGGCTGGTCACTTTGAAGACGGTAGTGTTCGTGAGTCTGGTCCATCAATGCGGCAGATATGCCAGGGTTTTCATCAACAAAGAGACACTGAAGAACATCGAGGATCTCACGATCTGAAACATTAGCAGCCTGAGGCACACTAATGTTCTGTTCTGAGCTGCTCGATGTAGCGGCATTATGTGCGGTTGTTAATGCCCATGGAACATAATCAGTGACGGAGAGAGGGCTCGGACGGGCAGGAGGAGCTCGAAGCACAGGTGGAACAGCGGCACGAGCAGCAGCCACAGCACCTGGTGGATGTTGTGTTCGCAAGTGGCGCGTAAGATTTCCAGCCGTACTAAATGTCTTTCCACAGCCTTCAACAACGCAGATATGAGCAACGCTGCCGAGATGATTTTGTAGGTGACGTGCGAGCTTTTCCGATTTTGTGAATATGCGCGTGCATCCTTCAACAGGACATTCGAGTTTCTTGAGTAAATGAAGTCGGCGATGACGAGCCAAATTGCCTGACGTACTAAACCGCTTGGCACAAGAACGAATCGCACATTGGTATGGCTTTTCACCAGTATGAGTCTTCATGTGCTCTCGTAAAGTAAATTTGCGCTGAAACCGGCCGTTACATGAAGGGACGGGACATTGAAACGGGCGTTCACGCTCTTGTGTTGGTGCAGAGGGAGAGGAAGCCATAAACTTGGGACTAGAAACAGGAGACTCGGTGTGATCCATAGTGACAACAAAAGTTGATTGAACTGCTTTGGTGAGTTAAGATGGTCACGGACGCGTTGGTCGCTGTGAGGCAGAAGGCAAAATTGAAAATGAATTTGTTCTGAGGCGCAGCTTTTGGCTCCGTATCCGCCAGAAGGGCTTGCCCTGCCCTCCCCTGCCCTGCCCTGCCCTGCCCTCTTGGCCGGTCCATTGACAGGCCTGTCACTACTCCTTGATGTTGGTCCGCTGTGACTTGGACAGCCAGCTGGCCAGTCTGCACTCCACCCCACATCTTGAACGGTCTTCATCTATGCCTACCAGAATCGTCGCGTTGTCAGACAAAAGTCGCAGCGAGAAAAAAAGGCTTACAGTATTTTGTTACAAGAAATATACTTAAAGATGGAGACAGCACACAAAAGTCCACCGAGAAGCGTTGGGAAGATGAGCCAATTCTCGTGTAGATTTGTCCACTTCTATTCGCTAAAGCCATGTGGAGTGCGCGGGCAGGACAAAGACCGCCTTCATCTTGTATACTTCTTATGCTTCTTTCCATCTATTGGGCAGACAGGGTTCGCACCATCGTGCCAGAAACTTCGTGATTATGGGAAGTCCGATAAAGGCAGAGCCCTCAATGGTGCTACTTAATGTGAAAGCCTGCGCATGCGGGATCAATTCTTGTGTCTATCTCTTGAGGAATGTCATTCAGTACCTTCGCGACAATGGCCTATCGGTCGAATGACATAAAATTTCATTGCTGAATTGCTTACTATGTATTTCTTCTAGTAAACAATCAATGATAGCGATCATGGGAATGGATAACTAAATCAATCATTGTAATGTTTTATCTAGGATTGGTAGCTTACTGTTACTACGTAGAATTGAACCTAGTGTTTTTAGCTGCATTAAAAGTTTTTGATTCTATCAAATACTTGACACTATTGCTATAACCTTGTGAGACAGTTATTTCAGATTAATTGTCGAATGATCTCAAAGTTGATAAAGCACTCATGAGTAGCCAACAATCAGTGCGTACCTGTACAGAACAACAACACGTACATGTAGTATAAAAAGCGCTACCGACTGTCGCGTAGAAGGTGGCTAAACGTCACGACGAATTTCGCGTCTTTCCAAACTCGTACAGACCTCAATGCCGCGTCGCCCCTGAGAAAAATGTCGCCGCACGCAATAATTATACATACAGTAGGGAACTTGGCACTGTGAAGGCGTAAGCAGCTTTATACGAGAAATCCACAAATTTGGATGCTCTCCATACCATTTTGAGAAGCACCATGGCTAAAAATATGTTTGTGCTTTCGAGGTCGAAATACCAATCATCCACATAGTGTTTTGACCTCAAAAGCCTCTACCGCAAGAATGACTTGTAGCCCATAATCAAAATACAATTTGCTCCAAACGACCTCTTGATACGGGGAGAGTGCATGGATTTGGCATAACATAACAAGGTCGAATAACACCTTCCCCGTCTGTAAGCTGTCATCATAAACCGTAGTACTTTGGAAAATAAAGTCAGAATGAGACCTTATTCATCGATTTAAGAAGGGAAAGAATACTATCAGTGTAAGTTCTGAATGTCTCGCTGTCATGCACTGTGCACACTAGAAATCGGCTGTAGCAGCCTAAAAATTGTTGTTGTTGTAGATTTGTAGTGTAACTAAATGAAATTTCTTAACTAGTTTTTTATTTCTGCTGAATGTACATACGTTATCAAAGAGCCAGCCACTCATTATATTGCTTTATATCAAAATGCATTCGAACTCAATCGAATTTATCTTCCGTCTGCAAAGCTTGTACGATTGTTGTGGGCATTTCCTTTTTTCTGTGATTGATGAGGGTATGCACTTCTTACTGGAAGTGACAATTGCTATAGAGCATATCCTTTCCAACTGTATCCACTTGTTTTGTTGAGTCAGAACATTATCGTAGCAATAGCTGCATTTCTTGACTTAGATGGAATCGTATTTTACGACCTTGTCATTGCGATGATGACATTGGCCTTCTTATTGAAAATACTTGACCGAAATTCATGGCACACAAGAAAATGGCGACACGTCATGTTGGCTTGCCCAATTTTTACTGTAATCGATCGCCCACCAGTCGATGGAATGTCGAGGTCAAAGCAAGAAATTCCATGCGCAACACATGTATTCGTACTGTATCAAACTTGACTCTGCGGAGTGGCCGTAATACTGCATCCTGGTGCAAATTTATCGAACAAAATACATCTGCTCTACGGATGAATCGTAGCAGTAATAGCAGCAAAATTCAATCTTCTGATTTTCCGAAAAATGTCTGTCGGTTAATATTCGAGCGTGGTGATGTACGTACGCTCGGTCTGAAAAAGTGCTGGATACGATCTGAAGGACAATTTGAATTGGTCCTCGTCCAATGCTCCTGTTTACTATTTCGGAACCAAGAACGTACTGCGCTCTATACATTTGGGCCTTTCCAAGTGTATCCATAGGACATGTGCTGTATTTTCTAGTTGAAGTGACACGGATGGGATTTTGTTCCCGCAAACCCAATTTCGACAGAACGACATGCCAGTAGTAAAGCAATATCATATTAACATTACTTAGGACCTCCTTCCGAAAAATAAATTTCCGGAATGTTGGGATTTTAAATGTCATTTGGTAATTATCACGGTATCATGGGCCAAGGCGACAATATCTTTCTGGACGCTGCAGCCGTCATGCAAAATATGCTCTTGTGTGTTTACTGGGCAAGCAATTGTTGCTGTCCATTACGAGCAGACTGAAGAAAGGCAGGAATTAATCTCATTGTGTGTAAAAGAGCTTAGACCGACAATTGAATGATGACAATCTGCAGAAGAGTTAAGACAAGCAGTCTTGCCGCCGCCGGAAAACTGTGCACGATCTTACTGGTTGGCTATGTGTTTCTGTAATCATCTGTACTTGAATCTTACAAATTTGATTTATATATATTCATTATAATACGGTATAGTTGGACGAAATTTACATTACATCTCGTGTGATCGTGAATTTTCATGATTCATGCGTACCTGGAATATCAGTATTTATGAAGGGCGCAAAACTTCGGAAAGGAGGGGTCGTAGTTACGCGTGATCTACTAGCAGCACATCAGTGAGTAAAGGCAGATTAAGAAAGAAGAGCATATTGCAATTAGTAGATTCAATCCTGTAGTTTACCTTGGAGGCTCTCAATTCAGCTCCTGGTTGGGTAACCTCCGTGTAATTCCAAAAGCGGATTTTAAGATTCCTCTGTGCAACTTGCGACGACAACTTTGCTGCGTAATGAGTTCACAGACAAATTGAGCAAAGGGTCGCTATCTCAAACCAAGAGCAAAACCGAGAGTCTCCAGAGCGATAAAGTTCTGTGTTCTGTAGATGCACTAAGATCACTTTCTTGTTAAGTATATGAGCTTTTCCTCTCTGTGTGTCTTTAGTAGCAAACCTACTGAGTTACGCTCCTTTTCTACGAGGTTCCATTGCGCTTGGTGTCAGTTGTTGTCAAAATAAAAAATATCCACGGCCAAGTTTTAACATACTTTATTTGTCGTGAAGACTCAATATTAATTGCTCGACTGTTTTTGCCTCCACTGCGATATCATGGGTGGCGGCTTAAGAGCTGACAGCGGTGAGAATTCACCTGGGGGCCACCTCACCGGTACGACAACACCAGGAACGGCTTGAATGAGCGCTGGTAAAGGCATGACAAACGGTTTGGTTCGCACTGAAATTTTTCTCGTCCATCCTTCCTCCTCTAAGGAGGCGGTGTGCATTACACTAGATGCGTAGCACTTCTGCCGAATCACACGGGTTGGTGTGGGTGCGGATAGCGGGAGCTTTATGAGCGCTATGATGCGATGGTTCTCAATCAGAATGAGGATGATGACAGTGATGGTTGCTGCTGGATGGCGTCGTAGTACTAGCAGGTGCTACATCTGTGTCCGCACAGACCATCCCCTCTTTACGTACCCTCTGACTCCCACGTAGTGTCAATGTGGGGAACGACGAGCCCAGATAATCCCTGCGCTTCTTGCCAAAGTCGGACCTCAAACTTCTCGAAGGTTGCATTCCCCCACTTCATCAAATGCTGGTTACAGCTCTGATGATCCCGTCGGCCCATTAACTGCCCCACAGAAGAAGACATCCCTTTTCTCATCGAGGAGCGACATCCTTCTGCGGCTAGCTTCAACAAGCTCGCTGTGCAAGTGCATGGCAACCCCATTGCAGGAAGGCTCATACTAGCTCAATGAGCTAACTACTATTTGTACCTTGATTTTACCACTGCAAACAGCAGTCATTCTATCATTAAAACGAACCAAAGCAGCGAATGATGAGGGTTGGATCTGTTGGTACTTTAATAAAAACATTAGTATATTAAGTTCCCCACCACGCGATGTCGGACCATCTTTTTGCCAATTTCAGCAACTAGCATGCCCAGTCTAGCTCATCCCGTAAGCGAAATGAGCAAAACTTAGCTGTAAAGCGGTGCATTCTATCCGACAAATATAACACCTTGTTCAGACGGTCCACCAATTACAATTTGCTGCACCTTTATAAGATGTCTGTTTTTCAGTGAGAGTCACTATTATTTTCAGACTTAGTTTGGGTGCATCAGATAAAGTGCTTGATGACCAGTCATGTAGCTGTTTTACTTCGTGGTTTATTTTCATAAACAGCTGCACTTGCCGCCAAGACCACACTGCCAGTATTATCGAAAGCGTCTTGAAATATCAAATGTCAATATCCTCCGTATGGATTACCAACATTTGTCACAGCGACCAAGGTACTGAAACATGGGCGAGGGTGTATCGTGTGAGCGCATTCCGCAGTTGCGTGCAGAAAAGGCTTACCAGTTTTTCATGGCGGAATCCAATACACGAAGCTCGTTATCCCTACTTCAGGTCACAGCAATCATTTTACGCCGCTATATTCCATGCTTGGGGTTATCAAAATAGATACAATCACACGCTACGTACTGTGTGCAGCTTAAACATTAGGACGAGAATAATGTTGCAGAATTGCAGCCAAAGCTTCGATTAAGCGCCACCCAATTTAGAAATTCCATTTAGTCCAAATTATTGAGCAGTGCAACATGTGTTGCATCTGTCTCCTTAGCTGTACGAAATACATCATGAACTCGTGGTAAAAGCATCGGAAAGGTAGTCTCAGCAGATTCGGCTAGCTATCTGGAGTCTAATCGAGCGGTGAAGTGACAAAGTTACTCTGTACTGCACTGCATGATCTTTATAGATCACAAACGGACTAGAGCCGAGCACATGTACCTTGAGCTAGAAAAAAGCAAACATCAGAGCAGTCATCTTCTTGCCATGAGCACGATAATACTATAGTGCCACTCAAAGCCGGTGAGACTCGAACGTGATGACACGTTCATACCCATTCAATTTGCTTACCGTGAAGATCAGCCTTTCGCAACGACCGAACTGTCACAGACGAGATGGAATAACTTGGTCGGAGACGCAAGATCCGGCATGACGCTTACATTCACAGCATTGATGGCAGCCAATTCTGCCTTATGCTAGTACCAACAGACATCTTTTTACAAATATGAGGAGAAACTGTACCGTCTTGGCATAATTTGCACCATATAGTTGACTGAACCGAGTCACTTTCTTTACCCACTTGCAAAACAACACTGGCGAATGTGTTGAAATCTGTATATCTGCAAAAAAAATTCGCACATCATGCTTCCCAATGCAACATTCGAAAGAGCGATCATTGCCGGCGCCAACAAACCACTGTTCATTTATAGTAAGTAGACAGTTAAAGTGCATACAGTAAATAACGTTCTGCGAGAATTGGTGTGAATGTCCGCTCCTACTTCCTAGAATTTGCGCAACCATGAACAAATGTGCCGTCAAAACATTTGGTGCCTAGTCACGATACAGTTTAAATAGCTGCATCATCATACATTCAGTTAATGTGATTACGTAAGAAAATAGGTAGGGGCACCAGCAACCTGTAAAGCATTCCACTCTGAATAATCATCGAAATCAATACCTCTCACGATCAGTTGACAACAACATCATCGAAATCTCTAAGCAAGATGCGACTGACCCTGCTATTCCGCAAAAAAAACTGCGCCTTTATGCACAGATACATAGGTAGCCTTTTTGGCATGATAAGCTGGCGTCAAATGGGGTGACTTATTTTCTCTCGTCACTGCTTCGCGCGGATGAGAGTATATATGTTCCGACACGAACGCTCGCTCTCATCCGC